TCACTAAATGGTTTTGAAGCCACTGCGATTTCATTAGCAATGAGGTAGCTAGCTTTCACTGCAGCGTCACTGATGTCTCGGCTGTGAGTAAACACAGACTGCTGTTTCTTCAGACCCGCCAACAGTTCATTCACCTTCTCTCATCTCCGCTGTCCTTGAAAGTTGTCATATTTGTCGGCATGAAGACTCACATATTGGCGACGAAGGTTATATTCTTTCAGCACTGCAACATGCTCTGAACACACCAAACATACAGCTTTCCCATTCAATTCCATGAATAAATAGGATGACCATTTTTCTTGGAACACTCTGCGTCCACTTTTCTCTTTTTTGACAGAGACATATTGGGGCAATGAGGGTGCCAAAGCACATAATGTTAAAAGTAGAAGCCGTAATAAATATCGCGGGCAAAACAAAGTAGCTCATTGGCTGCACGTGCTTGACCTACTTGCTCTGCCCCGGTATAAACAGTTTGCTTGCTTAACACAATTGCTATTGCGCCATCCAGTGGACGCAATTGGAACAGCAGTTTATTTTATTGAAAAATTGCAGCGCATTTTTATACTTTACAATTTTTTTATTTTTTTATCATCTCGCGGGCCGGATTAAACCCGTTTGCGGGCCTGATCCGGCCCGCGGGCTGGACGTTTGACACCCCTGTCCTAACCCTAACCTTAACTCCTAACCCCTAGAGCTAGCTAACATTAGCATTAGCCACCTAACCAGTGGCGACCCGTCATTCATGGCAGGTGGGGCATTGCCTGTTTTGCATGTTATTTTGGCATTAATACGTGTCACATATCAGTTTGCAAACAATGTAAAAAATAAAATAATAATTGAATTAATAAAGCCACATACAAACATGGTCTCGTTTTTGCTTTCTGGAGTAAAGCAGCTCCAAACTGCAGGTGTTTCAGCCTAGCTCAGTGCTTTCTGTGGTGGTGGGGCAGCCAGCGGAACATACGGAGCGTAGGGGTTGGTAATGTTCTCTAGTTGCGCCGTGAATGGCTCAGTGTTCTGTCACTCATGGGGACACGTCACTGCAAAATCTAAGGGTAGAGCTCGAACATTCAAGCCCCTTAGGTGCTGTCATAGAGTTGCATTAGAAGTGCCCATCCAAGAAGGGTCAAGGTCATTGGCCACAGATAAAATGACGTCAAATCACGTTATATCTACAGTAGCTTTGATTGGACTGATCACGTCAGCATCATACTTTCAAAATCTTAGCTAGCAAGCTAGCAGTCATCATCATGAATCAAGTCGACAATCTACTGGCAAATCCTTTTCAATCCTTGTCATATGAAGAGAACTAATGAAGAGAAATTATAGATAAAACGTATTGGTGCTCATCGGCCATTGGACATAAACATTACACAACAAGTTGGAAATCGCAAATTCAACAATGAGTGGTTTGGAAGGAATCACTAGCCTGCTATTCAGTGGAGTGGATGTGTGGTCCAAGTCTAGGTTTAAGGGTAACTTTTCCAAGCTTAAAAGGATAAACATTCAACATTGGCCATGCTGTCAATCCAGCATGACTTCTGCCACGCTCAAAACAACTGGAAACTCGGAACTGGGAAATCTTAGACTTCAGTGAGTTCAAGACAACTGGGAACTCTGAAAAAAACGAGCTCCGACTGGGAAAATACGTTTTGAACGGTCATCCAACTCGGAATTGCAAGTCGGGAACTCGGCCCTCTTTCTAGAACTCCGACCTGAAGATCACTGACGTCATGATTCAACCTTGTTTTTTTCCGAGTTCCCAGTTGTCTTGAAAGGACCATAACTCCAGAGAATGGCAGACATTGATGACAAATGTTGTTGACAAAATTTTCCCACGAAGGACCGCCGCGCCACCTTCCTGTTCAAGTGAGCTCAGCACAACAACGGTGAGTCCAAAAATGTATTGTATGCTGCTGCATAAATGATGTAATATGCCAGGGAGATATGTATACTGAAGCTAAGGAAGTAATACTAAGTGTATGTTGTGTAGTAAGCTGTTAGTAGCCCATGTGCCTCACCCTAATAATTTGGTCCCTTTTCCCCCTCATAACTTAGCCTACTGTTCTGACTTGGTGGTGCACATGTAGCCTATATCCTGTTTTAGAGAAATGTAATCATCGAATATTGTAAGAGCTTTCATTGTCTGCTTTATTGCCCCCTTTATTTATCCTAGGGTTCTGACTTGGTGTACAGGGAGAACACTGTAAGAAAGGCCCATGTTCTGAATTCTGTCGCTGTACATTTCAAAAGTGCTGAACAAATAGTTATATTGACTACGTCCGTCCTAGATCGCTCATTAATGTCTTAATCAAAATTACGGATTGCCTCTTATCTGCTCGTCGTCCCCTTATGCCATAGTTTGTACATCTCAATTGTCAGTAGAAACCACATTTGTTTAAGCAAGTCAGCCATATCGGCTATGTTTCTTTTTAAAAGGCAGTAAATGAGGCTGAATGAACTGTTTCGCTGCCAGACAAGGCTCCTCTGATAGCCAGGTGGAGCAGTGGTAAGGTGTTGGGACTCTGCTGTTGGGACTCTGCTGTTGGGACTCTGCTGTTGGGACTCTGCTGTCGGGACTCTGCTGCTGGGACTCTGCTGTTGGGACTCTGCTGTTGGGACTCTGCTGTTGGGACTCTGCTGTCGGGACTCTGCTGTTGGGACTCTGCTGTCGGGACTCTGCTGTCGGGACTCTGCTGTTGGGACTCTGCTGTTGGGACTCTGCTGTTGAGACTCTGCTGTTGGGACTCTGCTGTCGGGACTCTGCTGTTGAGACTCTGCTGTCGGGACTCTGCTGTTGAGACTCTGCTGTTGGGACTCTGCTGTTGGGACTCTGCTGTTGGGACAGCTTTATGGAGGCCCTAACAGTTTGTGGGCACCGTTTGTCACAGTTATAGTGCAATTAATGTATTATTTAGTGTTCTGTTGTGGTTTTGCTGGCATGCATCCCCCCCCAAAAAATATTTTGTTTGCCCCACCAAGATTTACATGCTAAAATCCCCACTGTTCAGCCACAAATTGAAATTCATTACATATATGATATGCAATTTGTAAAATATTGTACGAATTGCAATTCGTAACATATCATACAAATAGTAACATATTATATGAAATGGATGATTGACATCCACAAATTAATACAAAGCCTACCATAGGAAACGTAACATATCATGCTAAATGGAGCATCTCGGATTTATGTACATAATAATACGAAATGCTCTGAGACCACGTTGACTTGTGGCTAAGCTATTTCTAGCAGTTGAAAGTCATCGTACCTGTCCCTTCCTACTCCCGGCCATACATCAATAACGGTCCATGGCCAGATCAGCATCACTACATTACGTTACCTACCATCAACTGTTTCCGAAGTACGACCACCTCGTGATGCAATCTTGATGAAATACGTGTTTTTCCATTTGATACAAGAACATACGATTATTATCCGTTGCGCTGTCATCCCATCCCAGATACAAAACGTAATACCTAAAACATTCCATCAATGTTGTAATATGCAGCGCATTCATAACGTGTGAGGTTATCCACCTACCTTGGTCTGTGCGCTGGTCAAAGTAACCCAATAACTGGCGGTCGGAAGTAGGCTGAGATCCTACAAGCGTTTTCTGTTGATTAGACACATACGCAGTTTGTGTTGTAGGACAAGCCCATTCATTTCAACCAAGTAGTAGTTGTCTCTAGATTAGAATAGACGGATGATAACTAGGTCGTCGGTTCACGAAACAATAACATCCACACCGGGGGCAGGTGTAACGTTGAAACGAGGTCCGGAGGGCACGTCATCCATTCAACGACTCCAGAAGAGACATGTTGACAACATTGACGATGAGTATTTTTACATTTTTCAAGCGGCTTCAAGGCTATTTCTCTAGACTGTCGGGGGAAGAAGAAGAAAGCGCCTTGCCTCCGTCCCTTTAAAACTGCGGCGCGAACGTTTCGCGATGTGAAATAAGCATCATCATCATCATCAGCAGAGAAAACTAAAACGTATCCACGCAAACGTCAACAACAAACGGGTCGTCAGATGAGCTATATATATATATATATTTCTGTGACCTACAGTAACGTTGTAGCAGGAGCTGTGATGTTTCTCCTGCCGGAGCCATTTGATTCTTTGTCCTCAGAGCGACTAGCGGCAGTCAGAGGGAGGGATGACTGTTCCCTGCTCTGCCCCCCATATCAACACCAGCCAGCACTTTCTTTGTCACAGATTACGTAGGGGTTTCACCCAAAATATCAAAATCCAGTAAATAAAATAGCCTATTCGCTGCACACCTCAACGAGATATGACTCATTAACTCGTAGTTACATAGTAAATCAAACAGTTGAATTGCGCAATTCATAAGGAACGGGTTTATTGATTCCCACAGGGGGGCCAGTATGAAAAATGTATGCACTCACTAACTGTAAATCGCTCTTGATAAGAGCATCTGCTAAATGACTAAAATGTATAATTGGGTTAACAATACAGTCAATGTACCAGCACTACTCCAAACTCTGAAATAACTCCAAAAATACATTAGATGTCTGCATTAATGCATGTCACCGCATGTTTCAATTATTAACGTGATGCATTAGACCCCCATATGAAAAACAAATATTGACAAATATGATAAGAGTACTCTACAAATTACATTTAGTTCCAAACAAAATGAGGTACAAATTCAGATTCCACAACAAAGAAGCCAAAAATGGCTCACTAAAAATATCTTCACAAAAAAATAAAAACAGGACAAAAGAGTCAAAGAAAACTCAGACTTTTTTCACATCAGCACTGTGCTGGTCATACATAACACAAATAACAGCCAGTTGTTTTTGATGTCACATTGTGTTTATATCAGAGAAGACAATACAGATTAAACCATCCATTTATGGAGTTTAAAGACGGCACCGATTATGGGTCACGCTGTCACTGTCAGACCCAACATGAACCAGCCTGTGGGGCTGTAGGCTGAGCCAGACAGACAGTCCTAAACAGCACCCTA